CCGCTGGACTCTCTCCAGTAGCTCCTCAGTGAGGACATGGTCCGGACCGTCTTACCACTACCATTCAACCACAAGTAAGCAGAGCTAGCCTACGGCCAGCTGCCGTACATTTGCCACCAAGAACTCTACACCTTCACAGAAAGATGATCAGGGATCTACAAATCAAAGTGGACTGAGAATCGCGGCATGGCACAATGGAGTTGGCAGTCACTGAATTCCTGGGGCAGGGGACCAGATCTCACTTACTTTCGTAGTACTCAAAGCACTTTGCTGTGGGACTGCTGCTCCAGGTGTAATCCGATGGCTTCTTCCCTCGGTTGTCCCTTGCGTAAATGTTTCCTCCAAATTCAATCAGCATCTCCACCAGATCTACGTTTTTCACTTTTGCTGCGTGGTGAAGGGCTGTCTCGTGAAGTTTAGCAGCATTCACGTTTGCCCCTGAGGCCAGAAAGAAAAACAAATCTGTTCATGAAAGCCTTGCTTGACCCAAATGTAAGGAGTGGCTTGACTGGGGAAAAAAACGCTGTTAAAACACGCGCAAGCAGCTAGAACGAGATCCAAACAAAACAGCACAAACAGGAAACCAAACTGCTGAACAAGCTCTCGGTGCTGGCAATGTAAGAGTTTTCTTCTCTGGCTTTACCTTTTTCTTGCAGAGAAAGAGTTTTAGTCCACGTTACTGGGTAAATAAGCTGCTGAGTGTGAAGTTCAGAATTGCTTCCTCAATCTGTGCTGTCCAAAGCCACCGAAGAACCATTCCCAGCCATCTCAATGGAGTGCTCCCACTCAGGGCCAACAGTGACATCTTTGTTAACTATTTTAACAGAAATATCCCAGACCCACGAGATGTTGCAGCTCACCACCAGACATTACTGCGGGATCAAGTCTCAGTTACAGATATTTTTGTGAAGCAAGTTTGGCTTTGACAAGCTGACAGCATAAGGTCCTTTCAGTCCCCCCACAAGCGCCCGATTTGTTCAGCGGAGCTGAGCTGAACCTCACTGAATTCAAACAACTGCCTTGTAGATATGTGTAGGCACAACAAACTCCCCTTCTAATTAACGAGGAGAAACAGGCGTTTCTGGGAATCAATTAAAGGGTGACCAAGACAGGGAACTGGAGAGGTGGAAGCTGGGAACAGGCTAGCTTAGATGTGTAATTTTTAGACAACTAACGTTCAACAAAATGAATCCCCAGCCCTGGGCCAAATCACTTCCTGGTAAGCAGAAAGACAAGAAGTCCAACTCCAACTAAACACGGTCTCCTATTAGACTAGATATAAGGAAGAAATTTTTTACCATGAGGGTGGTGAAACCCTGGCACAGGTTGCCCAGGGCTGTAGTGGAGGCCCCATCCCTGCAAACATTCAAGGCCAGGTTGGCTGGGGCTCTGAGGAACCTAGTCGAGTTGAAGGTGTCCCTGCTCACTGCAGGGGGGTTGGGCTAGGTGACCTCTAACGGTCCCTTCCAACCCAAAGCATTCGATGATTCTATGATTCCAAATTCCCCCAACGTTAGCAGCAAGAAAACTGGGATGCGAAACCTGGAGCACAGAGCATTGACTTGAACATCCAGCGAACTCCTCTGGGCATAACACTATCCAGATCTCCCCGAGGTATGAAGTGACTTCATCTCTGGTTTTCTGTACAACATCAAACCCTAACATCTCTCCCTAACACCTATCCAAAACCATATGAGTGTGCCACCAAAGCTGAATGCGCGCACACCAGTTGATACCACTTTTGGAAGAAGCTGAAACTTTGCTCTAGGGGGCCAAAGAGTTCTGAATTTTATAAAAATAAGAGAATGGGAATGTCACTGGGAACATCACAAACTAGATATTGACAGGAACACGCTGAAAAAATGTTGAAGCATTAAGTTTTGCTCAGGTAAAGGGAAAACCTTTCACTTTTGTCATCTGTATCATGCTGTGAATGCATCAGCCCTTCAACAAGAATGCCGCTGCGGAGCACCGAGGCAAACGCTGCGCGCAGACACCACCGTCTCCTGCCCACCCAGAACCAAACCCCACAGCTGCCATACCTGCCTTGAGCAGCAACTTTACGCAGTCCAGATGCTCCCTGGCACAGGCCACGTGTAGGGGAGTCCCAAAATGGCAGTCGTGAGCCTCCAAGTTCGCACCGACATCGATGAGGAGTTGCACGCACTCTGAGCTACCTTTAGAAAGGGAAGATCCGAGTCAAAAGAAAGAATCCAGCTTAAATGGGAGCACACGGCACGCTGAGATCAGCTTGACCCACAAACAGCCTGTTTAATATTTGGGGTGACGGCTGCAAAATAGAAATGCTTGTGAGCCAACACAACACGCTGCAAGACCAAGATCGAGACCAGGATACGAGAAGCAAGAGTCACATCTGCACGGCGCTGAGCCAGAGCTACCAGGTCTCGCAGGGAGCCACGTCAAACAAACCTGAATTCGAGGGTTTGTGCTATACTGCCTGTTATTTGGGGAGCTGTACTGCTTATCCTGCCCTGGGTGGATTTGGTCACCTTGAAGACCACTCCAGCTTTACTTTTTCCAGTGCTAATAATACGACTTAACAGCAAGTGGACAGTCATTGTCATCAAGCCTTAGGAATAAGGCTTAAGGAGGAAAAGCTAAGCAAGAGCTTACAGCTAGGTATTTAAGTAACTACCTGTTTGTCAAAAATGCTGTCTCCCACAGCCTTCACAAGCGAAGGGAGACTCTGTCCAGGACAGCATACAACAAAAGCAGTGAAGGGGAGGGAGGAGGAGGTATTACATCTCACAAAGAGGAAACTGGGGCATAAAACAATCACAGAATCACAGAATCACAGAATGGCAGGGGTTGGAAGGGACCTCTGTGGGTCATCTAGTCCAACCCTCCTGCCAAAGCAGGGTCACCCAGAGCAGGCTGCATAGGACCATGTCCTGGTGGGTCTTCAATATCTCCAGAGAAGGAGACTCCACAGCCCCTCTGGGCAGCCTGGGCCAGGGCTCCGTCACCCTCAGAGTGAAGAAGTTCTTCCTCATGTTCAGCTGGAACTTCCTCTGCTTCAGTTTGTGCCCGTTGCCCCTTGTCCTGTCCCTGGGCACCACTGAAAAGAGTTTGGCCCCGTCCTCCTGACACTCACCCTTCAGATATGTTGCTGGGCACCACCGAAAAGAGTCTGGCCCCATCCTCCTGACGCTCACCCTTGAGATATTTATAAGCATTTATTAGGTCCCCTCTCAGGCTTCTTCAGGCTGAACAAGCCCAGCTCCCTCAGCCTTTCCTAATAGGAGAGATGTTCCATTCCCCCCATCATCCTCATAGCCCTCCGCTGGACTCTCTCCAGTAGCTCCTCATCTTTCTTGAACTGGGGAGCCCAGAACTGGACAGACTACTCCAGATGGGGCCTCACTAGGGCAGAGTAGAGGGGAAGAAGAACCTCCCTCGACCTGCTGGCCACACTCCTCCTAATGCATCACAGAAATTAAGAGATGTGGTCATGATCATCTAACGGGGAAATTGCCACTCTCACATCCTGCCTTTCCTGCTGTTGCATCTGTGCAAGTGTAAGTTGGAATTACGCTTAAATAGCCCTCTGCCACTCCCCCTGCCTCTGCTGCTGTCACAGCCACCCATTGATGCTTGCTCCCGCTCCGTAATCTGGATCCAAACGTCCAGGAGAGGCTTGAGTAGAGGATGGGGGGAGCAGAGAACGGCTGGCATGCACCAGCTGGGACATTATTTTGGCCTCTGCGGTTTTCTGTTATCCCCTGGACAGACCCTCTAGCCGGAAAAGGCCGTGAGAGGGACAAGGAGCAGACGGCCCAACAGGCCCTGGCACATTCTTCCCATCTGCTGCCAAGAAGGCCAATGGCATTCTGGGGTGCATTAGGAGTGTGGCCAGCAGGGCGAGGGAGGTTCTCCTTCCCCTCTACACTGCCCTAGTGAGGCCTCATCTGGAGTACTGTGTCCAGTTCTGGGCTCCCCACTTCAAGAAAGATGAGGAGCTACTGGAGAGAGTCCACGGGCCAGGCACGACGAGGGTGAGGGGACTGGAACATCTCCCCTACGAGGAGAGGCTGAGGGAACTGGGC